CTCATCCTCTCCCTACAACCAATTCATTTACATATTTGGTTTTTTGACGAACGACCGTTCTAGCAGCATTTCCATTTTTCAGAGAGAAACTGGAGCTGGAGGTTAGGAGAGGGTGAGGGCGTGGTTCGGTACAAAATGTACCCTCTTCTGAATGAAACCTGCGTAAAAAGCTGAGCAAAAACGCTTGCTCACATCGGCAGGTCTGGCTCGTTTCAGTTTAGGTTGATCCTCGCTGTGGCAGAAAGTTTTTTGAAGAAATGCACTGCCAATAAAGCTTTTCAAACTGTTTGCAAAAATTACTGAGAAATCCTAAAAAAAGCGTATTTTTGGCTTTTGATGTGAACATTTGCACTGAATGACTGGCTTTGGCACCAGCAGGAAAAGAAACGCAGTTACCTTTGGTGTAGTGGTGAACCTGTGTAATCGTCCAGCAGGTAAAATTAGCAAATCGCCGTACTCGCACAGAATCCGGAGCCATTTCCCCGAATCATCTTCAATATCATAATACGCTGAGCCTTCGATGATAAATCGAGCTGTTTCGCTGCTCAGTTCTGATTCTTCAAAGAGCTCCTCAATCTGCATTTGAGTTCCAGAATTAGTTTAGTGCTTCCAACTTGAAAAGTGTTTCTGGCATGGCTCGTCATTGATAGGATTAGCAAAGACTTTACTTTTATTTCTTGTTATATTGAAAATGATGCGATTTAGATCAAAGCGACACTCACGCTCTTCTGGAAATGGTACAGTCTGCTTGGACAGATTTAGCAAAAGTATTTTTGATTACTTTTTGGTTCGTCAGTGATTTTTAATGACTAGGAATGATTAATTCAATAGAAAATTAAAACTACGAGTAAAATATAAACCACACTGGAATACACCAGGTTTGCCGGTGCGACAATGTGTTTTTGCACCAAACTTCAAGTAATCAGGTCTTTAACTGACAAATGGCTGTTGCTTTACATCTACCTTTTACGATTAGCGTAAATCATCGTAAATTTTGCAAAAAGAAAATGAATAGCTGCCGCTTAACGGTGTTCTTTGAAAGCGAACAAGTTGTTCAGTGGACAATTTTACTTTTGAGTGCCCATACGTGAGAATCACGCACACTTGGAGCTGAATTTGAAATATTTATGTTGTACTTAGACAGGGACAAGAAACGCTCCCCTAAAATTTCGGCTTTTTAGCTTTTCTGGTTCACAAATTAATAATTTTCCAGCCAAAATTTAAAAACTTATGAATCGAATTTGAAATCAGCTCACACATGCAGCGAAAATATCCCTGCGATGTTTCAGCTCTCTATCCTTTCTGGTTCCCGAAATCAGTTCCTCACCAGAAAATTTGCGTAGTTCTTTAAGACGTCCTTACTTGGTCACAAGCATTTCGTAGGTGATGACATTAGAACGGGGGGTTCTTACATAATGTAGGCACACATTCCTAAAGTTTCAGCCTCCATTATGCGTTTTTTGCAGCTATGCGACGCGGAAAACGCGTATTGATGAGAGGTTGTCTGTATGTGTGCGTGTGTCTTTCTGTGTGTGCGCAGGGCCTCTGTACCGATTTTTTATCTCGAGACCTACAAAAGCTACAGGGCTGAAACCTTGGGAACTTAATCTACGTGCACGTGCAG